CAGGTGTTCTTGTATTTTACATGTCGACTCATATGGGAGTCTCGCAAGTTGTATTGGAGGGAGATAGCAGGGTTCTCATCTTTGACATGCCTGCAAACAAAGTCCCCACAGCCAGCTGGTCGAGATACTTAGGGTTTAGGGTTTTAGGGTTTAGGGTTTAGGGTTTAGGGTTTAGGGTTTAGGGTTTAGGTACCGGTTCAAGGGCGTGCACCACTATTGTGATTCAAACATGCAGCATCAGACGAGAGCCGTAGCCATAGTCGTGATGCACACACCAACCCGCGCGTAAAAGCGCTTCTACAACAACTACGAGGACCCTACAAACGGAAAGCTGTAGAACAACCCTAACTAAACCCTAAAACCTAAAACCTAAACCCTAAAACCTAAACCCTAAACCCTAAAGCCTAGAACCTAAACCGTTTGGGTTTGGGGAATAGTGAAGGAGGATCCTAACAGGCAAGACATCATTCCCTAGGAGTCCATGCACCTTTCTGGGACATACATAGAACCCTAGGGTTAGGGTTTAGGGTTTAGGGCTAAACAGGAGCCCCTCGCCCCTTAATTCAAGACCAAGGATTAGAATATGTGGGTGCATGGGCCGTCTGGCTTTCGAACAACCCCGGACCAAAAACGCCTTTCAGACGACTTGTACAACCCTGAACGTTGAACCCTGAGCCCCTACACCCTACCCATAGGCTCCAAAGTAGTTCCTTTTTGTAGGATCCTATAAGGTAATCCGAAAAAGGAACTACGTTGGAGCCTATGGGTAGACCCGAAACCCTAAACCCTAAAACCTAAACCCTAAACCCTAAACCCTCAATCCCTAAATCGCCTAGGTCAGCACACGGCCGGCTCGGGCGTCCATTCCGAGGATTCCGTGGATCGATCCACCACGCCCGCCAGGGCCCCCACAGAACCCAGGGTTTAGGGTTCAGGGTTTAGAGGGCTTATAGGGTTTAGGGTTTAGGGTTTATAGGGTTTAGGGTTTTTAGGGTTTTTAGGGTTTTTAGGGTTTAGGGTTTAGAGCACCCCAACACCAGATGTCACAGGTAGAGTGTAGTATCTCCTTCATCTTCAGGATTTACAGTTGCAGTATCGTATGATCTTCCTGGTTAACGTTACCTGCAGTCTCCATTGTAGTTCCTTTTTTGGGTTGAACCAATTCTATAATATATTAAGGATCCTAAAAGGTAACCCCAAAAAGGAACTACAATGGGGACTATCGTTATGGTATAATATGCTTCCAGATTACCCGCCCGCCCGAGGCCTCCTTGTTTGGGTTTAGGGTTTAGGGGTTTAGGGTCTAGGGGTTTAGGGTCTAGGGGTTTAGGGTTTAGGGGTTTAGGGTTTAGGATTTAGTGGCCCAGACTCGTTTTGACACGGCTTTGGTGATTGCGCTAGAGTTAGAGGGTCCGGGCGGCGGTTTCTGCCTTCGAAGCTCAACTCAGAAATGTGCAAATGCCAAACCCCTAAGCCAAAAAAACGCTGAACCCTCTACCCTAAACCCTAAGCATAGGGAGCTACTTGAACTTCGGGTCGTGGTCCTAAGCTCTCGCCCACTCAGATATTTCGTCTGTTGGCAGTTGGAAGCTATCGGCACCCGACACTATTGATTCATGGAACTACGAACCAAAGCCTAAACCGTAGTGTATTCTACAAGTGACTATGATGCCTGGACTTACCTACTGATGAAATGTCGCAAGGGCTATAATGTCTATACTTACTTGGAGCCCGACCGGGTGTTCACAACGATATTTAAACCTGCCTACCACGTCAAGATCCCCTGAGCCTCTACGTCTACCCTCAACAGCCACCATGAACAGTTGTTGTGGGTTTAGGGTTCAGAGTTTAGAGTTTAGGGTTCAGGGTTTAGAGTTTAGAGTTTAGGATTTAGGGTTCAGAGTTTAGGGTTTAGGGTTTAGCAGACCGGTTTGCCCCTGTTCTTCACCAGTACATCGGAGTGTTCCCAGCCAGCTCTTGCGGTGTTTATAAGCTTAAGCCCTAAACCCTAAACCCTAAACCTTTAGCGTGCTGCTTTCTTGTGTTGTTCTTCTCCAGGTTTCAGGGATTCAATGCAGGCGACTATACCAGTGATAAAACCATAAACACATACCTTCGACTCTTCGGCCTATAAACCCGAAGCTCAACATAATTGGGGGTGTGTATGTACAGATATGTATATATACATATGTATATGTGTAAATATAAATATATATATATATACATCTCTATGTATGTGTGTGTGAATATACATATATATATATATACATAGTTGTCTTAGATGACATTGCTTAGTTTTTCCCCCCATGTCACGCAGAGGAGTGGCCCAGCTCACCGCAATAATGCAAACCCCAGTCACCAAGTCCTTGAACATCCACCAAACCGCCATTCTCTGCACACGAAGGCCCTAGTATGAAGCTCCCTAAACCCGAAAGGCCCTAAACCCTAAACCCTAAGCCCTTATCATGACATGGCAGGGAGTCGCAAAAGAGGATCCAACTTAACAAAGTGTGAAACATCGATGACCTCAGGTCAACGATGCAGCCAGCGAGGCTTCCATCGGGGGGGGGAGGGGTTTATATGAGTTTTGGTGTGCTTTCAGGTTTTACTAGCTTGCTCGTTCTTCTTTCTGGATATAGCTTCCGTTCCGGAAATCTCCCCCCAAACTCGGGGGTATAGGCGGTTCCAGCTTAAGTTGTCGGATGTATCAGTGTAAGCTCCTCGTTGTACATACACCAAAAGCTGAACAGAGTGCCCCCGAAACCTCGTGAGCCTGTGGGCCTTGGAGGGGCTTCGAGGGTTTAGGGTTTAGGGTTTAGGGGTAAACCTGAAGCCCAGTCTTGCTTTAAGAAGACGACAGGGCTGTGTTCTTCCATGGCTAATTACACCAAAGGCCCCTAATTATAAGCCCTAAATACGCAAAAAAAACCCTGTGTCCAAACACCTGAACCGCTAGAGAAAGCTGAGGGCTTCCAGGAGGGCAGTTTTCAGCATAGTGGCGCCACGACAACCGCGAAGCGCCTCTTGTTTGCCAGGGCTTAGGGTTTAGTTTAGGGTTTAGGGTTTAGGGTGTAGGGTTCCATTGGAAGCAGTTTCTCCCCACCCTCTTACAAAAAGAGTGTCTCTGGTGGGTTTAAGGATCCGCTTTCAGCTTCTTGTGCATGAGCTCTAGGACTTTAGGGATTGATATGCCTATTCACCGTAGCGGTCACTGTCAAAAGCATCTCTTTTCAGACTTCCTGGCACCCTAAACCCTAAACCCTAGCCCTAAACCCTAAACCCAGACTTCCTGGCAGGCCTACAGCGAGGACACGCCGCCAAGCGCTGTGCCCCTCGTCTCGACAAAACTGCGCCACCTGAGCAAGCGAAGTATCGCCTGGACCGTTTAGGGTTTAGGGGTGTTTAGGGTGTTTAGGGTTTTTAGGGTTTTTAGGGTTTAGGGTTCAGGGACCGTAGACTGCGAAACTCACAGAAGAGAAGTCCTGCTTCAGGGACTTGTTTGGGGTTTTGGGTTTTAGGGCTCAGGGTTTAGGGTTTAGGGGTTGAGGGGTTCAGGGGTTTAGGGCTGAGGTTTGGGGATTTAGACTTGGGGTTTAGGGTTGAGGTTGGGGGATTTAGATTTGGGGCTTAGGGCTTTAGAGTCTAGAGCTGGGGTGGTCTAGAGATAATCCTTTGGGTCCTACAACCTACTGCGTTTCACGCCCAGGAAGTCAGTTTCTGGTCGGTCTCAGGAATTTCGTGGCTTTGGATATTAACATACGAAATGGATGGCTTCTGCTGCAACGACTTTCTGTGCAGAAGCTGTTTGCCGACGACCACTACTGAGACTTTTTCTGCTGCGGCTGCTGCGTTTGTTGTCACCAAAACTGCTGTACCTCTGCTGGTGGTAATGATGATGAAGGTGATGCTGATGCAAAGAACGACAACGCCAGGCGATGCAGCTGCGAGCGTTGGGTTTTGAAAGCACACTCCCACAGTAGGCTTGAACCGGGATAGTCGGGACACAGAACAGACCACTCAGCGCCTTCAGTGTGAGTGCGTAGTTCCAGGAACCAAAGCCCAGTGCGTTCCCATGAAACTCGAAAGACGGACGAACTGCCCAGCTGAGGTCTGCACACCACAGGCTTGCCATGCGATAGGACAACTCTAAACCAGGTTCGGCGGAGATGTCTGCGGAGCAATGTTGAAAATCTTTCGAGGGGGATGCGATTGAGGTTGCGGGCTGTGCCCTCGCATAGGTACCACAAGAACTGCTTCATGTCAGTTGTGCGCCACTAGGATCCGTAATCTTCATTGAACTTGGAAACCATGGCTATCCTAAAGTGAAGGAACCGGCGGCACCTGGCACCAGATCGGCACCGGTTATGAGCCCCAGATTAGTCACAGAAGACAGCCCGTTATAACGCTCTTCGTGGCAATCTTTCCAACAGCATCTGAAAAACCTCAAAATGCACCTTTCAGGTACTGCTAGACCTCCATGCCAAATGTCTGGTCACCCAGGCTCGGCACAGGTGCCCATCGTGGCCGACAGATGCGATCCGATGAGGATCCTCGCCGTGAGATCGTATGAAAGTAGGGATTCTGACCGAAGCCTTGATGCCTTTTTCAGGCGTGTACGGTTGAAATAAAGGGAGCTCAAGGAAGGGGTATGGCTTAGATGGGTAATTTTCAGTGTCACAAGTATGGGAAAGCTTACACAGGAACCCTGATGGTACCCCAATACTAGCCCCAATGAGTGCTTTTGTTCGTCTTTTGTTCGGCACTTCGGGCTGGAGCACAAACCACCGGCGGAGTTAACTGCCGCTTTTGAGATTTGGGGTTTCAGGACTCAGGGTTGAGAGAGCTTGAGGGTCTGTCTTCGTGTGACAGCATCGCGGCGGGCGTACCAATGGAACATGATCAGCATGACGTGAAGGCATCCGTCGTCGTTTTGCTCTTCGAGGCTGTGTGACTGACCCGGTCCTTCACTCCTTTTTCCTGCGCGCCTCCTGCGAAAGCACTCATGCCTGTGGCTGGCTGGACATTTCCTGAAACAAGGCCGGGTATAGGAAAGCATCCCAGAAGCAAACGGCGGCGAAGGCAGTCAGGCCAGCAGGCACCACGCCATATGCAAAAGCATAGAGTGGCCACACTGGGACTCCCCGTTTCGCCAACTTCAAAAGCCTCGTCGCACCAGCTTGAGGGTCCTGATAGGAGTTTCACGGTGTCAAAATTAGCACTCCCCTGAGTCCTGGCTCCGAACTACTAATAGGCAACACTAGGCCCAACACTGTTGTTGCTCCCCCTCCGTCATCCTTGGACTTCTGCATGTCAGGCACTTGGCGAAGTGCAGATACCAAGTACGTGCTCATCGGTGCGCTGCAAACCACGGCGACATCAGTATCCGGCACCGACGAGACCGCCACCTGTGCCAAGCCCAGGGGTTTGATTAGCAGATGAGCGTTGTTGATTAGCCCCTTGGGCTTGGGGTGTTGACAGAGTCTGACAGAGGCAACGGTTTCGGAGTGCATGAGGCCACCTGCTGTGCCAAGTAAAAGCTGCGCTCATCAATCAGCACGTCATGCGCAACGGGACAGCAGCGCTCCAACTCACGCCGGATCTCTTCTGCATCGTAAGGCAGCGCAGGTGACAGGCTGTCCCGCTGCTTCCTTAATGAGTAGCCAGCAAAGGACAGGAGGCCCTGCAGCAGCTTGGGATGCCAAAGCCTGTGAGCGACTCGACTTCGAGTAGCGGATTGCGGCCTGTCGATTGGCAGGATAGCGGCACCGACACTTCGAGCTGCCTGGAGAATAGGTGCCAGTTCATGTTGAAGAAGTCCTCCATGGACGTTGCCCAGCAAATCCAGCTTCCTTGGCTGCTTCAGAGTCCTCAGACCTTTTGCTGCCTCCTGCGAGTGTTAGCATAGTAACATGGTGAAAGGACTTCTTAGTTCCCAATTTTCTCGCAAGCAAAGCCGACGTTTCGATGGCGGCCGCATAGGCAGACCCAGTTGTAAGGATGTCATGACCTGTCCATACCGACGCTGGCACAGCTCCACCATCACCTGGCATGTCAGATTTGCGGCAATGTGGTCGTCGAAGGCTTCTGAGCAGATGTCTGCCTACAAAGTAAACGTAACACCCCCCGGCGTGGCCATTCACTACCACGTGATGTTCGACCCCCGAGATGACCTTCAATTCTTCCACTTTAAACCCTGAGGGCTCCCCAAGTTGAACAATTCAAAACGGCTGACACAAGGTCGCTGCAACCTCGACAATGCACATCTGCAAGCATGTGAACCCTCCTGAAATCTCAACTTGCCATGAAAAACCCTCTATCTTCATGCGCTTACTTATATGTGTGCGCAGTTCTAAACATGCGTATACCGTCAAGCAACCAATTGAAACTGTATATAAACTACACACACAAACACGCGCTTCTCCATACCTTTCTGCTTCATGCGACATTACCATTCTTCTCTGTCTTCTTGTCATCACCAATTGAATGGTTTGGGGTTTAGGGGTCTCTGTTCTGTGGCTTAAGTAGTTTAGGGGTCTTTTTCTATGGCTGAAGTACTTTAGGGGTATCTCTTCTTAGGGTTCCAGTAAGACTTCCGAGGATGTCCGAGGCACCTGGCGCGGAGCCAGGGCGCTGATCGCCTGCGCGGCTTCTTCGCCACTTCCTGGGCCCGTGAGGCGCCCGTGCCTGTGCTGTGCGTAGGGCTCTGGGCCTGGGATTCAAAGTTCACTTTGCAGGAGCATACTACACTATAGTTTCGCACAGGACAGCGATTTTTTTATGCTACACCCCCCTTTTTTTATGCTGGACCCGTGGCAGGTTGTTTTTTTATGCTGGACCTGGCCTTAAACTATGCTTGACCCGAGTTTTCTTTATGCTGTGACCCCTTCCTTTATGCTGACCTAGCTTTGGGGTCGGTTTTCCGAACCTATAGCTTTTTACGGGGCAGTGCCAGTAAGTAGTAAGTATAGTAGTATCATAAGCAGACACCAACAGGCCTATGTACAGAGCGTAAACGGTCGATTTCGCAAGCACCGCCTCAAAAAAAACACAAGTGGCTGGTGTTGGGGCCGATCTCAAGGAAAGACCACCCAAAAGCGCCACCATTAGAGGTAAAGACGGGGCTTTGGTTTTTGAAGAGCTGCTGTCACATCTGCCTGCATGCAAGGAAGGTAGGCACACGCTATGAAAGCAGGGCTGAGCCACACAAGTCATATGACGGGTATCGCGCAACAAATCTCACCTGCGTTAACATCTGCGATGGAGAGAAGAAGCTAAGCACTTGAAACGAGCGAAGAACAGGAAAAAAAGGCCTCTGTAGACTATGTAACCACATCACGGATCCTTTGGCCGAACAGTGTAACCACAGAAAAGCGCACTAGGAGCGGGCCTGGCCTGATCACCAAACATGATGCAACCTCTTCGCCGAACCTCTTCAGCAACGATGACAGCCACCGTGCCGACTTCACAGGTGCAGCCACAGGTCGTACCCACGGAGCTTGGAAGCTTCGGCGCAACTGGAAGCTTCTGCAGAATTGGCTGCCACAGCTTCCTGGTTTGACTCGTCGTCGTGCTTCGCCTCACACTTCTCTCCAAACCACACGTCCAAAACAGCAGCTCCGTCATCAAGTCCCAACGCCTGCCCCTTCGAGGGCTCATGGCCCATGAGCAGCCGAGGTATCCATCGGCCAGCACTTCACACTGCCTGTCATGACCACAGCCGCTGAGGCCTTCTGCCCCCACACAAAAAACTCCAGATGAGGCCCTCTCTTGTCCAGATCCATCTTACCAAGACTGCCCTTGTGGTCGCCAGAGAGCAAGTCGTACTCATCCAGGAACGATCTCAAGGAAAAACCGCGCACAACCACCAGGGGCTTTGGTTCTTGAAGAGCTGTTGTCACATCTGCCTGCATGCAAGGAAGGCAGGCACGTGCTATGAAACCAGAGCTGAGCCAACAGATTGCGAGCTGAGCCACACAAGTCACATGACGGGTATCGCGCAACAAATCTTACCTGTGTTAACATCTGCACTTGAAACCTCTGTAGACCAACCAATTTTCACATCACGGATCCTTTGGCGAGAAGTGTCACCACAGAAATTCGCACGAGGAGCGGGCATGAGCAGCACCTTTGCAAGACAATGGAGATCATCTCCACTTCGACAGCATAGCTCGGCTCTGCGCGAGCTATGGAGAAGGACTGCTGCAGGTGGTTTCCGGGATGAGGTTCACACGATCCATGCTTCAATTGGCCGTGGAGCTCTTCAGCAGCAACACAGAAAGCATTGGTGGTCGCTCGCGCAGTGCACTCCGCGAGGACTTGTCTGAAGCTGTGGACTGCATGGTGGATGATGCTCCTCGTCATTCGCTTGAAAATTTCCAGCATGAGCACCTCGCGACAGGCCGCAAAACAGCGCGGGGAAATCGCCGAAGAAGGTCCTCCAGCGAGTGGAGCAACGCTGGCGGCATGCGACGCAGCTTGGCTGGACATCGGCTCAGGGCACTCGGTAGGTGGTGCAGATGTAAGCCGCGTGGATATGACAAGTGGAGATCATGAGTTTGGAGCTCGCTTCGTTGAGCAGTTGCAGATGCGAGGTGAGCGGGCAGTACGAACCTTCAACGACATGCGCCAGCTGGCTGGACATCGGCTCAGTGCACCGGGTAGGTGGCGAAGATGTAAGCCACGTGGATATGACAAGTGGAGATCACGAATTTGGAGCTTGCTTCGTTGAGAAGCTGTGGATGCGAGGTGAGCTGGCAGCACACAAACCTTCAACGACATGCGCCAGGAGCTGGATTAAGGTGCACCACAAATAACAGCCGGAATCCGAAATTAACCTGCTTGAGTTGCTCACGAGCCACTGAAACTCGAATCAAGCAATCCCTCCAATTCGCTTGGCATGGACCCTGACAACGAGCTTGAATCTGGCTTCATCCCTTTGTTGATGCCGTTTTGAAGTAAGCCCGTTGATTAACCTTATGGTTGCTGAATCGGCTGTCCCTGGTTTCTGAATGCGGTTGGTTGTTTCTGAATCATGGTTGCTGAGTCGCATGGTGACTGATCTCTGCTTCACCGCATACAGGCCAGCATAAGAAAAAGCGAGGCTCGCCTAAATGGGCAATGGGGCCCAGCCTCCTTTCCATCTGGCCCATGGAGCATAAAGAGGAGACGAGGGCAGCATGAAGAAACATCGGATTGCCACAAAACTGACACCACTCTCAAGCACAAAGTGGAAAGAGGCAATGGGGCCCAGGCCTCCCCACCCTCCCACCTTGCCCATGGAGCATAACAAGGACAGGGGGCAGCATGGACAAAAAAAGGTCAGATTGGCATAAAAATAGAAACAGGTAACAGCAAAGGAGACAGCTCAGGCATAAGAGGAGAATCCATGCGCCTAAAACAACATGTCGACAACGGGATGGAGACATGGAGGTCAATGGAGACATGAAGGTGCACAGCATAAACATGAAAATCCTCAGCATAAAAAATACTACCCAGTCCTATCGCAGATTATGGTAAAAAAAGTAAGTTAGAGTACAAAACTTCCAAATTCAGCTTGAAGTAAGATTGTAAGCTATGGTATATTATTATACTATAGTGTCGTATAATACAGTAGAGTAGTATGTTGTAGCTGCTATGGTATAGTATGTTGTAGGATAACCCTGAACCAGTCGTCATGTTGTTCAAAGGACATGGCTGTCTGTTTTCAATTCAGGCCTCGGGCGAGCGGGTTGGACTGAGCTACAAGTTCCTGGCTGAGTCTTGGGGTTCCGTACATGCCGCAAGATCGAGGGACATGTAGGAAGCGACAGCACGTTCTGACAAGCATTGCACTGCACATCGTGCGATGTTCAGATGCTGCTTGAAGTATTGAGAGTTGAAGCGTTCGCCGACCAACAGGAGCGGAAGTGGGAGATTGGGTCTTATGCGGGCTTCATAAGGGTTTTTTGGCGGCTCTTGTAAGACAAAAGCTGGCACTAATGGCCTGCCCTAGGTGCAGAATGGGCAAAATCGTCAGATTCAATCGGCTCTGGTCAGCCCCGGGCAGTTCCAAGCGCAGAGCTTGTTTGGGTAAGCTGGCAGATGCTGCACGTCGGCAAGACGCGAACATGGCCATCGGATAGTGCGAAAACCCTGTCGTTTCGTCTTCGGCGAACTGTTGCAAGTGGTACTGCTATGATGGCTTCTTGTTTGTCACTAGTCTCCGCAGATAAGTCTTTGGGAAGGTTCAGCGGACGTGACTGATCTGCTTCGAGGCCGTCCTCTCCAAACACGGCATGTGTTGGTTGCATAGTGGTTTAGAGTAGAAGCTGACGGCAAAGGCATCAACTTTGAAGCAGCTTGCTCAAGGTGTCTTGGAATGGAAGCCCTCTCTCAGCAGGAGCCCGAAAGATACCTCCTCACATGCTAGCGCTTTCAGCATCCCCGAACAACCAATGTTCACAGCCTGAGCCTCCAAGCAATGCATCGAAACTTGATACTGGCCCTAAACCCCACACATGACATTGAACTCGAAGTCTTCAAGACCTGCAAGAAGCTGGCAGGTTTTGTCGGCTCGCCGCCCGCATCCCTCTTTGACGCCCCCCGGGCATCGATGCGCCGCCGTACTTCCTCAGAAGCATCCGAAGCCTCCGACGAGAGTTCTGCATGCGGCTTCATGCCACGTGCAGGCATTGGAGCCGTGGGGACCGACCAGGATAGCACGTCAAACAGCGATTGGTGGTGATGGTATAGTGGTAGTGCCTGTACAGATGCGTTACGAGCACCAACGCCACTACAATACCACCACCTACTGCTGCTAGTGCTGCAGCCGCTGCTTCCGTTGCTACTGCTACTGCTACAGCTGCCGCTGCTGCTGCTGCTGCTGCTTACCTCTACTGCTGCTACTGCTCCTGCTCCTAATTACCACCCCTCCATAAGCACTACTACTACCGCAGTTGCAGAATCTCGGAGAGTGATGTGGCTGAGAGGCTTACAGGCAACCGGTCACTGCTGCAAGGTTTCGGGAACCAGTCTTCAAGCAACGTTCCCAGCCAGGAGTGCCTCCCTGATCAGGAAGGAGTTGTCAGTCCCGGCCTCTGGTCTTTAAGTGGATGTGACGTGGTGTGCTTGCTCTCACGATTGAAGGAGCGTCTCGTTGCAATCACCAGTAGTCGCGCGTTTCCGGGTGCAGGGTTGGAACTGGAGGAATCCTCAGATCCCGGCCGCGAAGCCCATAACCTGCAACGCAAGCAGCCCGTCCACATGCAGGAATCATAGAGTCATAGAGGTGGGCTGCCATCCAGCGCAGCCAAGGGAGGGAGAGCGATAAAGAAACAGGCACAGAGACATCGAACAAGTCAAAAGCATACAAACACGTCCCGCCTCAAGGGCGGCATCCCGAGGTAAGCCTGCAAAGAAGGGTTCCAGATGGAGGTCGGAGGCTCAGTTGGGTTGAAGCCCCAAAACACACCTCCATGCATGATATCCCAAGAGAACCGTCGCAATGGCTCTAGCAAACACCGTAAGCCACTGGAATCTGAAAAGTCTCTGAGCAATAGATGCTGGAGCTGCAACGATAGGTACATGGCTCATGCACTAGATCCTAGAACCGGGTGCAGGTCACAAGTATGCGCAGAGCACTATGTGATGAGCATGTTGAGCGTCTGCCTCGGAAGGACTCAGCCGATGCAGAATCCAAGTGGTTCACAGTGATAAAGTCCTCGGCGGCATGTATTCCGAAAGACAAACGTCCCTTATACTGCCATCAAAACCATCATATCCATGGTCAGGATCACCAGCTTCACCATCACCATCAGCTTCATCTTCGTCTTCCTCACCGTCATCGTGGTCGTTGTCATCATCATCATCATCATCCTCTCCAGCATCACCATCATCTCCATCACCATCACCACCATCACCACCATCATCACCATCATCACCATCATCACCGTCATCACCATCACCATCACCATCACCATCAACACCATCACCATCACCATCACCACCATCATCATCCGTGTGACCGTCACCGACGAGCGGAGACGCATTGTAGCAGCAGCTTAGATAAGAAGCCTCGGTACAAGAAGAATCTCAATCCCCGTACATGCATGTACATGCTACATTGGCCTATTGGCCTATTGTATCAGACCAGGGTTTCCAGGTGCCCTGCGCTCAAGAACACAAGAGGAAGATGGCAGGAGAACTAAAGCCGATCTTGCTGCCCTCCTCCCATTCCAGACAGCACGGTTTAAGATTACAGCTGCATCCTGGGGGGGCTCGGAACCCTCAACCACAACTCCAAACCCAAACCCTCAAGCCTCCCCTGCCCCCAAGGGCCCGGCCTCCATGACCTTCGAGAGCTGCCCAAAAAGCTCTGCATCTTGCCCGGCCTCTTGGACCTTGGCTCACAAGGCCTGCAGTCTGTACATGCTCTTTACAAGACATCATAGTGATAGCAACAGTAATAGTAATTCATTGTAAGAAGTTGTAATCATAGTACGTAGTAATTCGTTCTTGACCATAATGAAGATGTCCATGCACTCTTCAGTTCGATCTTGATTGCTGCAGATGCTTGGCACCTTGCGCTAGGTTGTCGCGCTTGCAGGGATGTGCTCCCCGATCAGTCGTCAAACCAAAAGGCTTTCTCAGCACAGCAGCTTGAAAGCCCAGCTCATATGCCTTGAAACAGTATAGGCAGCCTCAAGATAAGCCCAAAGCCCTGAGCCCTTCAACCTAAACCCAAACGCCCCGACCGCCCTAACCCGCGATCTTGAGGTCAGTCCAGGGGCTTTCCGCAGGCGGTTGAGGACAGCTTTGGACTTCTCACGAACACCTTGAGGGAGATATATATATATATGTATATATATATATCTACATATAATTATGATTACTTATACCTATATATATATATATATGCTACCCC